ATATTGGTGTCAATCGTTTTGTTGGCCACCGATTCGTCCGAACTCTTGAGTCGTTTGTTTGGATTCACTGTCGAAGTGATCGACCGATTGTCTGAAGAGGAAGCGGTTGATAGCGGGCTAACACGAGGTTTACCATCACTGGTGGCCGACTTTGGCGCGGCATTTGGATCAAATGGATGGTCAAACTCTTGGAAGTGGAGGGGATTCTTGCGGTAACATTGCTGACCATATCTACACATGGGTTTCGCTGACATTGTCTTGTATTTTGTCTTCACATGTGTTTCGCCTGTCGTTCAAAGTCAACGCAAACACAACCAAAACATGTGTGAGAGTCACGTGACTTGTCATCAATGAATAACTTTTGAAAAGTTACTTTTCAATGCAATCGTCTCTCTCTCTCTCTCTCTCTGACTATAATCGAGAACATTTGAATATCAAATAACAATTGTACATGTACATTTAATCGCCCTATACAATTTCGTTTGAAATTATATCACAAATTATTTTGAATATCATTTTCAACAAAAAACTTTATTTTAATGACAGTAACATTAATACAAGTATTAATATAACATTTTTAATGTATAATTTATTGGCAATAATTTCAAACAATTTTTGTTGAAAATATTATGCATTTCTGGTCCAGATTTGCATTCAATATAATATTTATATAATAAAGTGATTAAAAGTGCAGAAAAATGGGCAAAAATTCAACAAATATTTAATAAATATTTGTAATTATTTAGTAAGAGATAAAACGGAGAGATTTTTAAAATACCTTTTGCCACATATTCTGGGCTAAAGTTAAGGCACTTTATTATAATTAGTTTACTTTTAAAATCAATTGATTGGAAAACAAAATGAGATTTCTGTTTAAAAATTGGGAAATAAAAAATAAAATCTTCATGTAATTAGAGAGCAATACTAAACTCGCATTCAATAAATCATTTTTAAAACAAAAATCCCGTTCATATACTGCCTATAATATCAACAATAAGTGATTGGGTTTCAATCAGATTCAACACAATTATATAATACTCTACAATAAAGTGTCACAAAAAAATGTAATCAAACTTAAAATATTCATTTGTGTTTCAAAAAACATTTAAACTTTCAATCAAAACAGTGTAATAATTGCATCGCGTTTGGGACCGACACCAACCCATTTGACTGCAAATTCAAATAACAATAATTAGCACAACATTACTAAACTTAAAACATCACGTTCTATAATACCCGGCACATCGACCAGAGTCTCAACTGTACGGACATATCGCTGGGCATTGACAGGCAAATCATCAAATTTGCGGATTTTGGCGATACATGTCTGCCAGCCCTCGAGTGTGATATATTTCACTTCAACTCTAGCCATATCCGCCGCATTGGCTGTTCAATCAAATTAACAATAAATATCTGCTTAAATATTGTACGTTAAGGACTGTCAAACCTGGCGGCGCCTCCTTATACTCGACGCCATCCAATGTATAGCTGACGGCTATTTTAATTTCCTTAAACTCGTCCAAAACATCCAATTTAGTAATCGCTAGACTATTGACAAATCAAACCATAAATATATATGCGTTTAACAATCAATTGCAACGACAATCAGTTAAAACATACGCTGAGTAGCCGTTGATTATATGAGAGTAGCGGAGGAGCACGAGATCCAACCAACCGCACCGTCTCTTGCGTTTAGTGGTGACGCCGACCTCTTTGCCGGTCGTCTGTAAGTAATCGCCCGTTTCGTCCAACAGTTCGGTCGGAAAGGGACCGTCGCCTACGCGAGTGCAATAGGCTTTGGTCACGCCATACACGTCACCGATATAACGGGGAGGAATGCCGAGACCCGTACACACGCCTCCAACCGTACAGTTGGACGAAGTGACAAATGGATACGTGCCTATCGATTGGCCATTCATTCAATCAGTTATAATGTCATCACAACAACAATTCAAACTAATTATAAAATACCAAAATCGATGTCAAGCATCGTGGCGTTGGCGCCTTCAATGAGCACAGACTTTCCGGCCTTCATATTAGTGTTCAAATAGGATACGGTGTC